GCCCTGGGTGCCTATTGCTGAAGATGATTAAGGGTCTCCATACTTGTATGGACACTCTCGTTTTTAGTATGAAGCTCCTGGTACCTCCTGGCACAGAAACCCAACCTCACCAAAAATAAACTTCCAGTCGTCTGCTGGAGGGGTACTTGGGGATCTGCCTGCTTTCTATGGAGACCAGCCCTCTCCCTGAACTCCAGAAGGACATGTCCCTCCAGTGGCTGAGTTTTTGGCGGTCCTATNATGTCCCTCCAGTGGCTGAGCTTTTGGCGGTCCTACAGCACACAGTCGCCTTTTTCTTCCCTTCTCCACTTAAGATGAACTTCCTTGGTACTGCCAAGTAGAAACGCATGCCCATGTGATTCCTGGCTTCTAAAATTGTGTTCCTGTCATCTCTCCCCTTCTCTTGGTCTATGTGGGGTTCAAGCCTTGCTTTAGTCCTTTACTGTTGTTTTAATGGTGTATTGAGAAAGAACAGATAAATTCTCTTCATTGGATTGATTTTTCTGTTGCTTGCAATTGAAAGATTCCCTATTGTGTTCATTAGAATGGATGTTTGCTGGCTGTATAATAGGCCCACTTGGCTGAAACAATAGAAGTTTCTTTCTCTGTTACTTAGTCATATAAAAATCTCAGCCAGTACTGCTCTGGGAGACCCAGGGTCCTGCACTCTTGTTGCTCTGCCTTCCTCAAGGTGCTGCTCTCATCTGCAGGGTGGAAGATGGTCACTCTCCTGCCTGNGCTGCTCTCATCTGCAGGGTGGAAGATGGTCACTCTCCAGCAGAGCCCTTGGGAAGGGGCCAAGGTTGTCCCACCCACTCCCCTTAGAGTTGCAGACTTTGTCTCTGCTCACCTATCACCGGAACCCAGTACTGTGAGTACACCTAACTGCAAGAAGGGCTGGAATGCAGTCCTTCACTGGAGATGATGCACCTGGCCCCAAATCAGGGCTCTCTTCATGTGAGCCAGAGGAAAGAGTAGACCTGGGGTGACTTCTAGCAGCCTCTGCCACACTGACGAAGACACTAGTCTCCATAGGAAGCCATCCTAGATTGCCACAATGAGAATTCGCCTCTCCCTCTCTGTGCAGTCCCCTGCAGCACACTAAGCCACTGTGCACCAGAACTTGGTTAGCAGTTCCTGGCTTTCCTGACATGGGGGCTCCTGAGGGCAGGCAGGGACCCTGGAATTCCACAGGGGAGGACCCAGAGTCCTGGAGTCCCGAGGGTCAACTGAAGCCAGGAATTTCAGAAATCATGGGGCTGCCAGAGTGCATTCAGCCAGCTCCCAACACGAGTTGTTTACTTTTCTGAAATGCCCACTAGACTCATAGGTTTAGTTCTTCTTAGGAGCTGAGATCCTGCTGGACTGCTCACAGTGCCCAGGGCAGGGTGTACAGGCTGTAAGGTCTGTGACTGGGTCACTGTCATGCTGAAAACCCTTCAGTGTCTCTCCAAAACTCCCAGGATCAAGTCCAAGCTCCCTTTCCCAACATGCCTGCTATGGTTTGAATGTTCGTGTCCCCCCCAAATTCATGTATAAATCCTAACCCCCGAGGGTGGAGCCTTCCTGCCTGGAATTTAATGCCCTTATAGGGAGACCAGAGAGAGCTCTCATCCCTTCTGTCTGTCATTGGAGGACTCCGTGAAAGAAGACTGTCCAGGAAGCAGGCTCTCACCAGCCTTGTCTCTGCCAATGCCTTGGTCTTTGACTTCCAGCCTCCAAGACTGGGAGAAATACATTTCTTTTGTTTATAAGCCACCCAGTCCTTGAGGTTTTTGTTACAGCAGCGAAAATGGACAAAGACACTGCTGTCACCGCTGTCACCTGGCTTCCCCTGCACGAACCCCCCCCCAGCAATGCACTTATCGGGGGCCATCCCGGTGGCTACCTACCTGTGGTCCATCGCCCCAGCAGCCCAGGAGCACTGCCCAGGAAAAGGTGGGGTTCCCTAGCACCCAGCCTGGGGCCTGACCCACAGCACATGCTCAGAGCTTGTGGAAAGGGCACGTGAATCAACATGGAAGTGAATTTTCTATGCTCTGGGATGAAACCCATCCCAGCGATAAGTTTCTACACGACCTTGTTCTGGGACGAGAAGCACGTTTTGGGGCAAAAGCCCTGAAGCAGAAAGGTCAGACCCTGATACACTAGCTTTTCCTTCTGGCTGTGGGAAGGGGGAAAGGCCATGGCCGCGGCAGTGTGCTTTGGAAGCCTGAGCCGGGCCACTTAGGAAATGGCCGTTGGGCGTGTCGAGGCCAGGGGTGCGGTGAGTGTGCAAATGAGACTCCGGCTTTCACATGTCTCCAACAGGATGTCGCTCCATCCCCCCTTTCCTGGCTCTGCACACAAACTGAGCCAATGCCCCTCCTGGCTGGGATCTTTGAGGTCACTTAGATCAACTCCCCACTTAGAGAGGGGCAAACGCAGGCCCACAGAGAAGCTGACCTGCCAGGGTCGTGTTCAGAGTCAGAAGCTGCGCAGGGGCAGCTTCCAGTCTTCCCATGGGGGTTCCTTACGCTCACTGCAGCCCACACATGTGGCTCGGCGACCACATGGTTGGGAAAGAGAAGTGAGCTTTCCTGCATGACTGCAAGAGAGAAAGAAGGGATCCAAGACAGTGTGCACACTTCATTTTTATTCCTCAGGGGGTGCAGCATGTGGCACTGTCACCCCGGGTCTGGTTCCCACTGCATCAGACTGGTGGAAAGGGCCTCACTTGGTTTTCTCTCTGCACTGGAGTGACAGGGAGTTATACTATGAGGGACACCAGGGCAGATCCAGTGGAGCCAAGGATGACTTTGGATGACAGGGACAGTCCTGATGCTCCTGGGGAGGAAGAAGAGGGTGAGCAGAGAGGGGCAGGCAGGCAGGGACAGCTCTGTGGGGTTGGAGGTTCCGGGGCCCCGCAGGAGGGCTTGAGGCCCAGACACCCCACCTGGCACCCTCCTCGCTTTCCCCAAACCCCATATCTCTGCTCTG